CTACAAAATTTTTGATCTGTGACCGATAAACAAATTGTGACTTGAGTTGTGACCTGAGCTGTGACCTGTGACCTGAGTTGTGACCTGGGCTGTGACTTGTGAATTGAACTGTGACCTGGGCTGTGACTTGTAAATTGAACTGTGACCTGAGTTGTGAGTTGTGACCTGGACTGTGACTTGTGACCTGAGTCGTCGGAATCGGAGCAGTCGCCGGAACGATCACCGGAGCATTCGCCGGAACAATCGCCGGAGTAGTCGCCGGAATATTTCCCGGAGCAGTCGCCGGAGTATCGCCGGAGAGGTGGGGGTGGTGGAGGTAGGGGTGGGTTAATTGTAAATTGAACTGTGACCTGAGTTGTGACCTGGATTGTGACTTGTGACCCGAGTCGTCGGAATCGGAACAGTCGCCGGAATAGGCGCCGGAGCGGTCGCCGGAATCGGAGACGTCGCCGGAGTGGTCGCCGGAGCAGTCGCCGGCGTGGTGGGGTGGTGGTGATGGGGGTGGGTTAATTTTATATATATTTATTTATTTATTTATTTATATCTTTTTATATATTTAAATAAATAAATAAATATTTATAAATATGTGTATATATAGGTCAAAAAATCTGATTTTTGAAATGTAAAAGTTGTTTTGTTATTTTTGAAATATGGTAAAGATAAAGTAGGGAAAGTGAATTTTTCCCTTTTTTGATTCATTATGTGCTTTTGGGCCAGTTTTTTTCGAGGCCCTAGGCCACTGCTTAGTCTGCCTTGGGCCGGGCCGTGCTTGACTTACAGGATTCATCACAAGGGTGACTGATGAATGGCGTGTGCGACTAATGAATGAAGATTAGGGCCGACGATTAGGTGGAAGGAAGTCGGAGTTGAGAGAGATTAGGGCTTGAGTTTTGGTTTCTGCTTTTCACGAGTTTTGTAAGAATCTTTTTTATTCATTTTTAGTTGATGGGCCGTGTCATATGGTTGTGACGGGTGTGATGGGCAAACTATCATAATTGAACCAGCCCATTTCAACAAAATCCAACTAAAAATTATGTAAAAATTTGATTAGAATTGATTTCCATGTGTAAACCCATCACCCTAACTGATTCAATCAAAATCCAACTAAAAATCATGAAAAAAATGGGTGGTTATTGATCAATTTCTAGGGAGTAGGTACCATTTAATGCATGAATTGATATTTGTACTTTTTCAAATAGATAGCATAGATTATGTGTCAAATTTCTATTTGCTACACAATTTTAATTATTATATGAGAACATTGGTAATAGTAGTAGAATTTGAAATTTTCATTAAGGGCATTTTGGTCTAAATTTTAGTAAAATAGACATGTAAGAAATTTCGGACATTTTTCCAAATGGTAATGAAAAAGTGGACATTTTTTGAAATTTCCACAAATTAATATAGATCCAATTACATTCCAAGAAATGACATGGTACATCAGTCATATCATCAAGTGACGTACCAAAAGGCGAGTCCTTTAGGCAGAGGTGACTAGCCATATTATTGTCATAAATCCAGCTTGACCTAACTCAAAAGGTCAAGCTCACACATGGACGAGTTGCGTGAATGATGAACAAAGAAGACGAGCAAAAGACCAAGCAAAAGACCTTAAGATCAAAAGACAAGATAGACTAGAATAATAGAGATTAGGTAAGGTAAGACGAATCCCAAATGGTCCTTTTCTTGGCGAACTAGTTTCAAAGAGATAAACTTATTCCAAGTAGAAAATGTCTATACACAATCATAGTGATGGCAACGGCTCATGAACCCATTCACAAATTATTTCTTCATACTTCTCTAACTTTTTACTCTACATTCTTTCGTATTATTGTATACCACCATATGATTTTATAATTGTACTTTAGTTGTTTTATTTTTTGCAAATATTTCTTTCGCTTCTCAATTCTTTCAGATTGAATATTGCCCTTCTCCTGTATTTTCTATTATATTTAAAAGATTAATGTCGTGAGCACAAGTGGTATTCAAAATTGTCTAGGTGGCAACTAAGTGTAGTAAATTGATGGAACACTTCAAATGTTGTCCATATTTCTACATTTAAAATGTCCTATCAATTCATGAAACTTAAGAATGATGTTCAACACCAATTTTGCTATATGGCATTACTTGATATCGAATAGATCAATAGATTTTTGAATTCAATGGTTCAAATACTCCAATCTATAATTTTGAATAGTTTTTGACAATTTTTAAACAGCAAAAATAGAAAATAAAAATTCAACTTTTCAAGAAAAAAAATTAAGAGGCTCGCTAGATAGTAGGGTGAGCCGAACTCGAAAATTGGCCGGCGAGCTTGCTTGTGCTCAACTCGCTAGTTAGACCTAGATAAGCTCGGGGTGAGTAAGATGAGCCGAACCCCATTGCCAACCCTTCATGATGATCAATTGAGAGCAACTCTCCGAAAACGAGTTCAAGCTAGCATTAATATGACAAAAAATCAAACAGTACTTCTTACACTTGAACTGATTGAAATGGCAATTAAGTTGACACATTCCAGCTCAATTGATGCTAGCCTTCAAATGTCACTTGACATGAAAGTTGATTGATAAAAGACATGCATTCCTTAAGCCATTCCTCTCAAGGGAAGTCAAGTATGAAATGTAAAAACTACTTTGATTCCATTCTTTACCACTTTCGGCCAAAGCCAATCCACAAGTAGAATTGAATTGACGGTCGGAGTCAAATTAGTCATTGGTTGTCCTATCAATATTTTTATGGTCAAACACAATTATTGACGTGCATTTACACAAAAATTCTTACTATAGTTTCTTGATGTGAAACCATCTAGTCATGTTTCAACATCAACCGGCCGTAATCTTCACACACAAAACGAAATTGAAAGGAACGTGGAAAAAGGCTTTTAAATGTGTCAATTTTGATTAAAGGAAATAGGTGATGATTAAGGGTTGAATAATTGGCTCTCGACTTTCCCTAAATATATTTGTAATCTATATACAAAATGGGCAGAATAGATCAATAATAGACACGAGCTACATTGCCAGTGATTTCTATAGGCACTTTGACTGATTTACACTTGACAAAATTCCATTGGCTGTTGGACAAAAAAAAAAAAAAAACTTCAAACCAGCCAGTCCAGTTTCGCTACATCATCGTTACAATTCATGCAAAAGCACATGTACAAGCAGTTTAACTCTAGACAAGATATGAGCCACCACAAGAATCATGCTTGTGAATGAGTAAGAAATTGAGAGAGAGGGAAAGAGAAGAGGAGGGCATAGCTCGATTCTTCTTCTTCTTTCATTCTTATAGTCTTGCTCTTTTCCTACTTATCGAAATGCTAATGAAGTCTTACTTTAAAGAGAATGCTATGGAAGACAAAGGGTTTGAAATAATTAAGAAGATCCATCGACAAAATATTGAATATTATAACGAAAGCACAAGTTGAAGGTATGAAGTATCTATCTGGACCTCAGTTTCTATAACTTATCTTTCGTTAAACTCATTTCAATTACACATTTCACAGAATTTACAACTTTTATCAACTTTTCAACTATATATTTTATAAAAATCTACTAAGAATTAATTTTATGCCATTATAACTCTCATACAAAAGTTTAATTTTTATTTTTCGATTGAACATCTCATAAGAATCAAGTCAAAGTGCTTTCGCTGGAATTGATTAGATTTATGACGACCATATGTGGTTTGCACCGACAACTTTATGTTTGTAGATTAGGTTGAATTGCGACACGTGTTGTTGCCATGCAGTTGATGACTATTTCAATCGATATTTTTGTTTTCACGAGGTATAAGGTTGGAACAGGGAAAATAATATGAAATAAACTCTTTTATTTGTTTATTTTATTTTATTTTAGCTAATTTTGAAAGGGTGAAATAGTTGCAAATTTAATACTCTTTCCGTTATATGTGTTTTTATTTTCAAAGGTGAAATTCTGATTTTGTGGGCTGTGATATAAATCAAATAGTGCCAAAAATAAAAATATTTGAAGTCGCCTCTTTGACACACATTATTTAAAAATACATTTTTTCAAAACTAATTTTCAACCACACATTGTTCAATAAAATAATATTTTCCACTACATCAATAACATTTTCTTATTTTTTAACCACGTATTTCTCATCATATCACTATTTAAAATATATTCTTTTTTCAATAATATCCATCAAACCCAGTAAAAATTAATATAGATCCAATTGAAATTAATCTCATGTCTTCAGTGAACTGAATAAAAACTTGTCATTATTGATGTGACAAGACGAGTTATCCTGCTCGATCACGCCTATAGATCCAATTACTCTCCAAGAAATTGACATGGTACATAGTCACATCATCAAGTGATGTAGCAAAAGGTAGGTCCTTTAGGAAGAGGTGACTAGCCATATTATTGTCATAAAGCCAGCATGACCTAACTCAAAAGGCCAAGCTCACACATGGACGAGTTGCGTGAATGATGAACAAAGAAGACGAGCAAAAGACCAAGCAAAAGACCTTAAGATCAAAAGACAAGATAGACTAGAATAATAGAGATTAGGTAAGGTAAGGTACGACGAATCCCGAATGGTCCTTTTCTTGGTGAACTAGTTTCAAAGAGATAAACTTATTCCAAGTAGAACATGTCAATACACAATCATAGTGATGGCAATGGCTCATGAACCCATTCACAAATTATTTCTTCATACTTCTCTAACTTTTTACTCTACATTCTTTCGTATTATTGTATACCACCAATATAATTTTATAATTGCTACTTCAGTTGTTTTATTTTTTGCAAATATTTCTTTCGCTTCTCAATTCTTTCATATTGAATATTGTCCTTATCCTGTATTTTCTCTATATTTAGAAGATTAATGTCGTGAGCACAAGTGGGATTCAAAATTGTCTAGGTGGCAATTAAAGTTTTGTAAATTGATGGAACACTCCAAATGTTGTCCATATTTCTACATTTAAAATGTCCTATCAATTCATGGAACTTAAGAACGGTGTTCAACCCCAATTTTGCTATTGCATTACTCTATATCGAATAGATCAATAGATTTTTGAACTCAATGTTTCAAATACTCCAGTCGATAATTTTGAATAGTTTTTCACAATTTTAAAATCGGAAAAATAGAAAATAAAAATTCAGGTCTTCAAGAAAAAAAATTTAAGTCGATTGCGAGATACTAGGGGAGCCGAACCCGAAAATTGGCCAGCGAACTGGCTCGTGCTCAACCCACTTGTTAGGCCTAGATGAGCTCGGGGCGAGTAAGATGAGCCGAACCCCATTGTCGACCGTACATATTGATCGACTGAGAGCAACTCACCGAAAATGAGTTCAAGCTAGCATTATCAAGAGCAAAAATTGAACAGTACTTCTTACATTAGAACTGACCGAAATGACAATTGGATTGACATATTCCAGCTCAATGTGATGCTAGCCTTCAAGTTCAAATGTCACTTGACATGAAAGTAGATTGAAATAAGACATGCTTTTTGTTCCACTCTATATTTCCTCAAGACATTCCTCCAATGGAAGCCAAGTATGAAATGGAAAAAACTACATTGATTCCATTCTTGATCACTTTCGGCAAAAGCCAATCCACAAGTAGAATTGAATTGACGGTCAGAGTCAAACTGGTTATTGATTGTCCCATCAATATTTTTATGGTCGAACACAATAATCGACATGCATTTAAACAAAAACTCTTACTATAGTTTCTTGATGTTAAATTATCTAGTCAACATCAACCAGGCGTAATCTTAACACACAAAACAAAATTGAAAGGAACGTGTGGAAATGCTTTTAAATGTGTCAATTTTGATTACAGGAAATAGGTGATGATTAAGGGTTGAATAATGATTGATGAAAGATTTACAAAGATTGCAAATAAGTTTTAATAAAAATCAAGGAGGAAGTAAAGACAATCAACTTAGAAAACATTGGTTGTAGGCTGTGGTAGAAGATAACTTTTGTAATAGTAATTTGGACTTTTGGCTCTCACCAATTATGGCATGGAGGCCGAAAAAGTTTGGTGGCTGTAGGCTGATTTTTCTTTTCAATGATGCCTAAGTGGGCCGGGTGGCTACACATTTTAGCGAGAAATTTTAGTACTTCTGATAGAGTTGCAACAATATGTCTAAAGTAAAGAAGTCGTGAGTATAGTTTTAATTAGCTCAACCATTTATATAAATAAGTTCAAATCTTTGGACCGACCTTTACTGGGCGCGGCCTCGAAAATATATTGGAGATTGTCAACCAATGTTGTGAAACTTTTGAGTTGTCATTGATTGGGTTGAAATAACTATTCCATAGTTATTAGAAAGAGACACTTGACTGATTAGAAAGAAACTTAAAAATCCAAGTCAAATTCGGTAAAATAGGTTGACACCTCTGATAAAAACTCTTAAGTTAAACTGCAACAGAACGTACTAATATCTTATAAAAAATTCGAAAATACACCATCTTGAGAAAATTTATATCGTGACTTAGGCATCGGTGGAAGGGTTAGCATGCAAGTAGTAGTGTCCTAACATATGACAACATTTGGTCCTAAAAGTTAACATATCCCACATAGTCCTACAATTTTCGGAATATAATTGGTGCACCATCTTGTGGATGCAGCAACATTAGAACACTAGGGGCGTGTTTATAATGTGGTGCAAGCTCAAATGAGAAGCGTTGTAGTAACATGGAAATGGATAATTTGGCTTGCAAAATGGCCAAATTTTGGCCGATGCAGCGGCGGGCGCCTAGGCCGAACGGCATGAATGCCAAGGGATGTTTGGCTGCATGGACTACACCTTTGGCAAATCTAGCAGGGTTGAATTCATGTACATCATGGCACCACAATGCTGGGTCGTGATGAACGGCTAGGATCGGTATGAGAAGCTCGGTCCCGGATGGGATGTGGATCCCGCCTAGTTGTACGTCGATCTTGGCACGTCTGATTATTGCCACTGCTGGTGGGTACAATCTTAGAGATTCATTCAAAATCATTCCCAACTGCAAATGGGTTTCAAGAAAATTATACAAAAAAGAATTAGTAAAAGCACTAATTCTCTCTTGAATGTAAAATTTATTGTATATAATTATATTTCCAAACATGGACATTGTTGACAATTTTGAAATGAAATCATTGAAATATATCTCACCTAGAAGAGCCAAAAAAAAAAAATTGTTTTCGTCTCGAAATTATACTAACAACTAAATTAATTTTCAAATTCTCAAATTTCCTCACTGAAATAAATATCCAAAAATGGAAATTGTTGTCAACTTTGAGATGAAATAAGTGGACTGTATTTCACCTAGAAGAGCAAAAATCTTGAAGTTAAAAGACAAACATGTCCTTTTCTTGTTTTGCATCTTACACATGCAAAAGTACGGTTGTCCATAGAGTAACATGGAATACAATTTTTTTTTCTTTTTAAGTATTGTTTATATAACTGTGGACTACAATAAATTGAAATGTACTTTAGCTTTATAGCATACCGTTTTGAGCTTTGCAAGATCATCTTTAGTTGGAGAGTCACGTGCTCCAGACACCCTCAAGACCTCCTCACGTGCTTGTTCCTGCCACTGAGGATGCATGGCCAAGAGGATGGTCGTCCACGTCAGCAAGTTCGACGTTGTGTGTTTTCCGGCGAAGAAAATGGTCTTGCACTCCTCGACTATGTCTTGAACGGTTATTGCAAGCGTAGAACTCGACGGAGAAATATTCGAGCTATTAATTTGTGTCTGTTTTAAACATGCTTTGATCATTAGTTCCAACAAATCGTTAGGACATTCTTCTGACAATGTCTGACTTGTTGAATTTTTTCTCCTCTCCTCGATCAGCTTCATCAAGGATTTTCGAATTTCTTTATCCAATCTCCAAGAAATTCTGTTCTTTTTAGTCGGCAAGAACCTGATAAAATAATGATTAAATTGATTAATACGATGCTAATTCCAAGATTAATTAATTAACTTTTGTAATTAAAGGGGCTTAGACAAGTGAAATTATAAGATCTTTTAGTTTACTTAGCCCCGTTTGGTGCATATTTTTGAAAAAAGAATGTATTTTTACTGTTGATGTGATGTGAAATATGTGGTTGAAAAAGAATGAAAAGTTATTGATGTGATGAAAAATATTATTTTATTGAAGAATGTGTGGCTGAAAACGAGTAGAAGAATGAGAATGAAAAAAACAGAAGGTGGCTCAAACAGGACCTTATTTTAAAAACTTATTGTGGTTTGCTTTTTCATGTGGGTAGTTACAACTACATTGTACAAGTGGCTAGTCCCAGCCATAAATAGACAAACCCAAAAATAAAGAGTAATGCTATTTATCTCGAGTTGAGTCCCAGTCTATTTGACAATTATATGGTATTAAATGATAAATTTATTTAAATGCAAAGTCACATGACTCATTTAATTGAGTCTATCATTTAATATCATATAATTACCACATAGATTGTGGCTCAACCCCAGTGGGGATGAATAGCATTATTCAAAAATAAAATATACGAGTTTTCAAATTTTTTTCTGTTTAACATGGTTAACGTTGATTCTCATCCGTCACTCCACCTTGTTCCGTTTAAAAATTAAAGATCTCGATAACATCGTAAATGAAATTTTTAGTTTTTCAAATTATACAAAGTAACGGATGTGAGGCAACATTAAAAAACTACATTCATATTTCCATTAGAAGTCAGACGCATAAAATTGTCGTAAGTAGATGACGTAGAGATAAGATATGAACTCACTACTCTAACAAAGAAATAAGTCATGTTTTCATTTGGGATCGACTAAAAGAACTCTCTAGCCACACTCTAATATTACGTTGAACGTATTAATTAAAAGCTTAAAACTATTATTTTGAAAAAAAAAAATCTTAAGGGGTTGCTCAATTGGTCAGACCTTGAGTTTACTTCTCAATGGTCACTAGTTCGGGTCCCCTCAGGGCCACTGAGGTGAGTACCCGATCGTAAACTTCATGGACTCATGTGATTAGTCGAGGTGTGCGCAAGTTGGCCCGGACACCAACGGTTATCAAATAAAAAAATTATTTTGAAAAAACAAAGTTTTGAATAGTGATTTTTAGGAGAATGTGTGATGAAAAAGTAGGAAAAATTTTAAGTATACGTATAGAATATTTTATTGTGTAAATGTATGGTTAAAAATGAGCAAATAGAAAAAAAGTTTCGAAATAATGGTTATCAACATGGGCTAAATATGATTATATAGAGTGCATACATATCTTGCTGGATACTGTTATTGAACGTGATTAAGTAATAATTACTATGGTTTATATTTTACTGATGAATATTAATTTGTACATACATACATACCTGTATCCAGGGATGAAAACTTTCTGAAAGGCCTCAGTGGCGTGGACCATTTGTTGTGATTGCAAATCAAAAATTGCCCTTCCATCTTTATAGCTGCTTCCAAAAGTTGTTCTTGTAATGGCATCTTCAACCAAGTTCTGAAACCATTCAGATACTTCAACTTCCACCTTGCCGGCATTCGACATCTCGTCCGACCACCTCTCGACTGCCTCTTCTACGCTTTTCGCCATCATCGGCATCATTAACTATACGCCAAAAAATACACATCAGTATAGGTACGTTTGTAGGGCGTCTAGTAGGGAAGATTGAATAGTACTCGACAGATTGCACGTGCATTGCGTGCAAGTAAATAATAACCTTGAGATTTTCTGTGTAGAAAGATCTCTAGCCACACTCTAATATTACGTTGAACGTATTAAATAAAAGCTTAAGCCTTTATATGCAAATAAGCCCCTGTTTGACAACTATTATTTTGAAAAAAATAACTTTGAGGGATTACTCAATTGGTCAGACCTTGAGTTTACTTCTCAATAGTCACTAGTTCGAGTCCATCAGGACCATTGAAGTGAGTATCCGACCGTAAACTTCATGGTCTCATGTGATTAGTCGAGGTGTTCTCAAACTGATCCGGACACTCCCGGTTATCAAATGAAAAAATTATTTTGAAAAAACAAAGTTTTGAATAGTGATTTTTTGGAGAATATGTGATTAAAAAGTAGAAAAAATTTTAAGTATACGTGTAGAATATTTTATTGTGTAAATGTGGTTAAAAATGAGCAAGTAGAAAAAAAGTTTCGAAATAATGGTTATCAACAGGGGCTAAATATGATTATGGGGCTAAATATGATTATAGAGAGTGCATATATATCTTGCTGGATACTGTTATTGAACGTGATTAAGTAATAATTACTATGGTTTATATTTTACTGATGAATATTAATTTGTACATACATACATACCTGTATCCAGGGATGAAAACTTTCTGAAAGGCCTCAGTGGCATGGACCATTTGTTGTGATTGCAAATCAAAAATTGCCCTTCCATCTTTATAGCTGCTTCCAAAAGTTGTTCTTGTAATGGCATCTTCAACCAAGTTCTGAAACCATTCAGACACTTCAACTTCCACCTTGCCGGCATTAGACATCTCGTCCGACCACCTCTCGACTGCCTCTTCTACACTTTTCGCCATCATCGGCATCATTAACTATACGCCAAAAAATACACATCAGTATAGGTACGTTTGTAGGACGTCTAGTAGGGAAGATTGAATAGTACTCGACAGTCAATCAGATTGCACGTGCATTGCGTGGAAGTAAATAATTACCTTGAGATTTTCTGTGTAGAAAGTTGGTTGAATGATCTTTCTATGGTGAGCCCATTTTTCTCCTTTAAGACTCAACAAACCATCACCTTCAAGTTTCCTCACAAGTAGAGGGGATTCATTTTTCTCGAAATAATCCGATTTCAAGATGAAAATTTCTCGAACGACTGCTGGATCAGATACAGTGAGACGAGGCGTCGGTCCAAACCATACTAAAAACGTTGCACCTGCAATCAAATTGACATACATTTTTTTATGACAGAGCATGGGAAAGTATTAGGGTTTAATTATCTTGATTAAATTAAAGATTAAACATGGTGTTTTGAAATTAAAAGGGCATGTAGAAAAAGGTGAATTTAACCATATTATTCAAGGACAATGGATAGTGTAGACCCTACAAGAAAAACACACACAAAAAGTAGCATAATAAATGTGGTGAGGGAGAAAGTTAGGATTTTAGTGCATCAAGAAAGAAGAAGAACAAGAAGTTAAAAAAAAAAAGACACAACATTCCTTAATTCATACCATAAATTTTCTTCCAATGATGATAGAAGGAGAGAACTCTAGGGAGTATGTTGTGGGATAGAAGCATTGGTTGAGCAGAAGCCTTCAAATTTAAGCTAGCAAGTTCTTTTAAGTTGCCTAAAAAAAGCTGATACTTAGGTCCCTTAATTCCTTGCTTCCTGAAGTGATTTTCGATCTTCCTCGGTATCCACCAGAGATGAAAAACAACTTTTACAACGAAAACTAGCCCAACATATGAAACCAAAAGAAACCACAACCATTGGAACCAATCTTCCATGCTTGATTTACAGAGATTGCGGGGGTGGGGGTGGAGGTGGGGTAGGTGTCTGCTTCTTAGTTCTTACTTGTATTTATTTTTATACACAGAGAAAAGCAGGAGTTTGTTGTCGTTTATGCAGAAGCATAGGATGAAGATGGGCTTAACAGGCAGAGGGAAAGAAGCTACCTCATGAATTTTAAGGTCAACTAATGGGTGAGGGTGTCCTAATTAATATATTTATTGACAATATTACCCCTCTTGCAGACCAACCCCACCACCAACGCACCCCGTCCTAGATGAGTTCTGTTCTTCCAATTTGGCGGTCTCCTACTTATATTTTGACACCTCCACACTCCTTAGCAAATGGGAAGCTAAAACATTGACATCACCTTAGTTTTCTCATCTGGTAATAATTGATGTGTCGAACGGCCAAAAATTAAGTAAGATAAGAGCTACCCTTATGCTCCACGAATCAAGCCCCGTGAAATAAATAAATAAATTTGTCCTCTTGAGGTCTCTCTTTCTTGTAGAGTCCTCTTGAGTTTTATTTATGAGATACATTAATATAGTAGTCATCGGTATTTTGATCAGGCCGTGTGTCCAAAAAAAATCTTGGTCAACTCGAAAGCCTCTTAATTATGATACATAAACACGTCATGCTGTATTTTGTGTCTATACGTATGTACTATATATAGAATGCTTGCTTATATGTTTATTAATTACTTCTGAAAAAAATACTAATTCTTATAATTACCTTAAAGAATAATGCTACGACGTAGTGCATAGCACCCTTTTAGTTGTGAGACGACCTCAATGAATCATTAGGATTCATGTCATCTAAACTGGTGCTCAGAACCCGTAACACTACATGACACTACTCATGCGTAGCCATCTATCACCATTAATTGCTTGAGCATCGATCTACAAAAAATCAATTACAAACTTATAGGTAATCCGTGATCAACATCTCTTTTCATCAATTTCATAGGTGACATTTGCGTCTCGAGTGATGTGGTGGAGTGGGGTTAAGTCACCGAAAGTTATCAAAGGTAGATATACACATTCCATGAAAAAGGGGCGGATAAGCAAGCCAAGACTAATAAATTGCAAATATTTTAGTGTAATAATTTTATTATATTATATAATATTTATATGGTATAAGTATGACCTTTGATCAATAAATCTTTATAAATAAAAGAGGAAAAATATCTTAAAATCTTTTTGCATATATCTGCGATACATGCATGATTGTGAAAATAATACAAGGCACATGCATGTTTGACCCTAGTTTCATTAGGGTCGGGTCTCTATATACTCTTAGAGGAAGAAATGAATCCGTCTATCTCCATTATCGAACCAAAAACAATTTTAAAGTTGAAATAACTTTGAAATTCTATTCAATTGATTGAAATCCTCATGTCGTTTCCACTAATCACTGCAAAAAATTGGGCTCCACCGATCAAAGTTTTAGCGACCAACTGAACGTGATTGTTATAGGACACTATCACGTACCAGAAAGTGGTTGATAAAGGGATTGTCCGATTAATTTTATTTTTAATTTTTACTTGTACTTGGTTGCTGATGTCGAATATCAGGAGCCATATATTCGATTGGTCGCCAATGGTTAGTGCGAGAAAAAGAGCCGCATGTTTCCTGTGCAAAAGACTCCATGCTGTATTGGTCGCTAAAGACTTCATTGACCGTGAATTACCTACCAGTCAATGACCACAATTTTTTGGTCGATAAAGGTCTTTAGCGACTAGAAAATATCCTTAATTAGCTACCGTATTTTTAGGTCGTTGGATTCAGATTTTTTTTTTGGGAGTGAATGTCCTCGAAAGCTTATGGTTAATTAAAACCTAAATTTGTCTCCACTAAACCTAAATTTGTCTCCACTGATTAAATCCAGTTACACGTATAGAATTTAAGGTTTTTTTTTTTTTTTTTTTTTTTTTGTGGCTATGAATACAATTAACAAGTGATCAGGAAGAAAATATTATTTTTCAGGATGCCATTTTTACAATAAAAGATCAATCATATATTAAAACTCAATATTTTATTTTAAAAGATAAACCTTATCAAAAGTAGTAACCAAGCTCTTAATTTTGATGTTTAGTCAACGTGGGATTTTATTATGATGTGCACTTTTCAAAAAATCAATCTTTGTATTCGATAGTCCGTTTAGGATTTTTAGATGGATTGATCACTCGTTTGAGCATAATGGGATTTGGATCCAAACTTTAGGTTCCATATTCAAAAAATAATCTTATTACGAGAATTAATCAAAGTTCTTATATGTTGTTTATAGTTTCAATATTTAATCGATGTTGAATTTACCTTTTAACACTATATACTTGATATCTTGCACAAATATATAAGCCTCTATTTGACGAAGTTTTATTAAGATTATTAATTGGTGAAATTTCAGTTTTCAGCATACATTTTATTGGATGCACAACTTTTATCTACTTTTAATCACACATCACATGGAATCCATCAATTTATAATCTAAAAAAGCCTTGTCAAACAAGAGCTAAAGAAAGTGAGATGTGTCGTTTTACGCGATGCTCTCTCGAACCGATGGCTCGATCAACATTGCTCAAGAGAGGGAACAATAATGAAAGGGAAAGGGTGGGTAGGAGGAGGGTGATAGTGGTACCCATCTTATAATGTATGGCTTTGATACAAAGAAAATGATTTTAGGGAGGCAAGAGAGTTGTGTTTTGGAAGGTTGCTCTTAAATTGATCCACATGCGAACAAGGATACATATTTTATTGCTTCTTTTTGTAGTGTTAGCGGGGGGATATGCCTTGGTTGTCCCAAACCATGGCTAGCCCACTTCTTTAATCTTGTCTTAATAGTAACAAAACATATTGGGGCCATTTGCACCACAAAATATGGTCCTTTTTTCCTCTGTCCCTCTCCTCTCTCTTTCTCTCTCTAATCTTCTCAATATCAAGAATTTCTCGTGGTTGTTTCCTGAATTTTGGTGTATCCTTCCCAAGAAGATTGAGCGAAGTTACAATAGATATCACATATACCCTTTTTAAGGGTAAACATATGCTAACTATATATAATATTGGTTAAAGACGTAGATGAAGGAGTTTAATGTAAATTGTTAACGTAGGATTATAGCGATGATTTTAAGGACCATTTATTTGTTTTTAGAGCCACGAATCCTAACAAGAATTATACGTGCCTTGATATCATTTGTTAAGAATGGAAAAAACAAGAATATATGGCACAATATGAAGTAGCAAATATAATACAAGAAGAATACAAAAAATTGACAAAGGAATGAAAAATTTATTATAAAGGAGAAAGAATTACAAAAATTGTGTGTTTATCACAATTCTAATGAAGTCTAACTTATTCTAACTATGAAGAAGAGTCAACTATGTCTAGGGGTACATATTAAACCCTAATAATAGTTCTAAATATGGAAATAATATAAAAAATTATGTGGAATAAAAAAAAAATCTTGGGTCGGACAAGTGTAACGCTCGAGCACCAATGCGAGACGGGAGGTAGGTGGGCGACAGTTCTTTGCTAAAAAATTTGTTCCGTCACTCGAGCAATAAGCTAGCTATCAGCTAGCAGCAATGCGGGGTCTTTTCCTCCTTTATCCATATTTTGATCTCTTCAAAACTCAATTCAACAAATCCTCAAATACCTAATTGAATGTAGATCAAACTTTAATAAATTTCCACCAAATTCCATGCAATGAATCAAGCTTTAAAAAAATCATCCACATAGAGACAAATTCCACTACAAGGCAAAAACTTTACTCTTCAACAAGAACCTCAACCAATTATCCAACGAACAAAATTCTCTACCTCTTCCCCATAATCCAAATAGGATAAATGAATCCAAGTTCTACTCAACAGCATTACCTTAGGTTCCCAAAATTTACTTGAATTATCAACACAATTAACAAAATCACAAAATAAATCAACATTCACCAAATAGGGCAAAACCACGCCATGAAACAAATGCAACACCACAAAATGCTTTTGTAAAAGGTTTTCCGCTAGAAGAATATATGTTGTGTATGCTTTAAGTGTGGTTCAATGTGTGAGTCTAGAAGAAATATGTTGGAGTTTGGTACAGTACCGTTGGAATTTGGTTTCTTTTGGGCTTGTCTCGAGTAAATGAATAGGATGGCACCGTTGGTTGTGGCGGCAAAGTGACATTATCTATAACCTTTAAACTCGACTGAGATGAATTCTTTAACACGGACCCCAAACCAAACCCCAACGGTACTGTATCAAACTTAATATCCACCAAAATACTAAATCTCTGCTGATTGATCTTTAAAGATTCTGCACAATCTTGCAAAACATACAATTGAAACATTTGCTGCCTCTCCAACACAACATGGACACCTTTACAAACCTTCAAGACTCCACCTTCACTAATGATATTATACCTTTTTGAATCCAGAGTAGTCAAGAAGGTAAGATTTCACTTCAAATACGGAACGTGTCTCACTACACCAAGTGTTTTGACTGTCTTATACAACATCTTAAGTCTAACATTTCTAAGACTAGCTACCTTACAGGGTTACATTGTTGGCCATAACTAAAACACCTTTCAAAACTTTTTCATATGTCGAAAAGACATCTCGATTGGAACACATATAAAAAGTGCAAGTTGTATAAAGAATCTAATCCTCGTTGGTTTAGAATCGCCGTCAGAAATACCAAAAGTCCTTCATTACTGAAATAGTTCTCTGTAATATCTGTTTTACTGAAGTATACGGTTGATTTCCCTTTTGATTTACAACCAAGTTTTCTTTCTTGCAATAGTTATAAATTTGATTATTGAAGTTAGATTTCGATCTACTCCTCTTATAACTACCATGAACAACAAGGCATTCTCCTTGAGCCTTAGATCCAACAAAATGTTTCATCTTCTCATTTGACAAAAGCATCATATACTTCTTCAACGGTGAGAGTAACAATGACTATATAATATCGTGTCTCTAAGCGATATAGATGAAGCCGACAACGAACAC